AACAGCTTTGTACGTCTATAAACAGATAATCGGAAGCAAATCTGTAGTTATTCATCGCGCAAGTTCTTTACACAATATTTTTAGTTTCCATTCCGAGTAAATATTTTTTTTGAAATTTCTTGAAAATCAATTTGATTGCATTCGAATCGTCAATAGCCTTTAAACGCACGAGATCCCCACTTTAAAATTCCGTGGTTAACTTTGATGAGTTTATTCACTTTTCAACAGTATTTTTGTTTCTTTGATTCGACGAAGGTCCAGTCGAAAATGGTCTTCTTGTGATTCCAGATAAATTTAGAGTGTTGAGAACATAAGAGTGTTGTCTCAACAAACTAACGTAATCGCGTGTAAGAACTAAATAGCGCTTTACTTGGTATCGAACACCGAAATTGACTTCGCATTTACCGAACGGTTACTGAAAAAAAACGTTATAAAAGTACAACGCTTGTCAGATTGAAATGCGTGTTTCCACAGTTAAATTTCTGTCAGCGTCAGTTGCAGTAGAATGAATGTGAATATCTGAATACGGACGTCTTGTTGTGATTCCAGATAAATTTAGAATGTTGAGAACGTAAGAGTATTGTCTCAACAAACTAACGTAATCGCGCGTAAGAACTAAATAGCGCTTTACTTTGTATCGAACATCGAAACTGACTTCGCATTTACCAAATGAAATGCGTCTTTCCACAGTTAAACTTCTGTCATCGTCAGTTACAGCAGAATGAATGTGAATATATGAATACTGACTTCTCATTTAATTCTGAAGCTTTCTGATAGGGAAATTATCACGGCACTGGAAGTAAAAATTCAGCGGAAAACAATGTTCTTTTCACATCTTCAATGAAAACAGTTACCAGATCACTTAAAAGAAAACAAAACTAAACTAAACGGAACAAAACAACAACATAAACAAGAGTTGAAAATTTTTTTTCGGCTTACTCAATTGTAACCAAGATGCTCGGTTAATTTTCTTGTGAAATTCATTGTTTGAACTAAAATATGTTTTAG